ATGAAAAAAGGGGAGAAAGGCCCGAAAAAGGCCGGGAGACAAACCTTCCTCCACGCACGGGAGGGAGAGAGACATCTCCTCCCCCACCTCCCGGAACACCAAGCGGATCCTCGCCCGCCCCTCGGACCCTCTCGTCGTCTTTCCTTCGTCCGAACCAGGGCGGGCACGGGCTGCCTGTCGTCCACCTGTTTTCTCACTTCCAGTCAACCCCCCTTCGTCCTCGTCTCCCACGACTCCTTCTTCTCCCCTGCCGTCCCCCTTCCCTTCCTCAGACGTTATGCCGCCTGAAACGGCTCCTCTCATCGGTTCTTTTGAAAAGTCGATCGTCAACGTGCCTGTCCCCCGTAACGCATCAGCAAATTCGGAAGCGAAGGTGAGCATGCTATCGTACTCCATAACCTCTTCCATACCATCCTGTAGGGTTTGGGGACATATCAGGAGCGAGTAAAATGCGGTCTCCATCGATGGTGGGGAGGCTGTGCAGGATGGACGGCAAATGAGGAAAGAAAGCGTCCGGGATGGGATGTCGAGGAGAACAATGTGGTCAAAGGTGTCGCAAGGATGTGAATTCAAATTGTGTTGGTGCTGCATTGCGGGTGACAAGGTAGCGTCTAAACTTTGTTCTTCACAGCAAGCAGGACTGGCGGAGGCGATCCTTCGAATCCATTGTGCACTCCCAAGCGCCTTAGGAGAGGGATGAAAATGTGAAAAGAAGAATATGACGATATAAAATTTCATACACAAGATTGCGAGAGTGTGACTCGGGACTTGTATAAAGAGTACCTTGCGTAGTTCAGACCAAAACTCCACATATCGGTGCTGTTCCATGCCTTCATCGGGGTCTTACCGAGCCATAACCTTTTTATGGATGTGTTGCGCACATTTTCAATTGTCAAATACTTATGTAAAGAGACTACAAAAATATAGAGGCAGAGCCAAGTGTTCAAAAAGCGGGATGTAGCGAAGTAAAACTCATAGATCATTGGCCCCGAAAATTGTGGAAGACAAACTTCGTCACCTGTAGTGCACGAATCACGACCTAGCACGATGTACTCGCTACTTTATCGACCCTATAATATCGAAGTAGATTAAGTGAGAAAGTTGCCCCCTGGCTTTTTTCCACTGTAAAGCAGACAAAAATAACCTCCTGTCCCAGGCCTGGCCTCTCGGCTTTCGACAAAATGTATGTAAAGGAGCCATCAGATTGCACAGAAAGCGCAATGGAGCTACCGAGCTGGGCAATATACCTGACAAAGGCTGTCTTGCATGATGCTTGATGGTCATTTAAATCCAGTATGCCGTGCTAAATGATTTATTGCTTGCCCTCGTTTCCTTCAGTGAATATATCCGGGTACCTTGAGCGCTTATTCCGGGGATATTGTGGGCACTTGGAAAATACACTTACGTTTTTATGCCAATGTCGGACTACTGCAAAGAAGCAGCCCACGTAAAAAAAACTAACAGGTTTGATTGCTGCAACATCAATTGCTACGATCGCCGATATTAATTAAACCTTTGGCGGTAATACACACATGCAAACATTCTGTACAGTTTCTTGCTTTCTATGTTGCATGTACTGATAGGCTATTGTTACACAATCGTCTTACAACCTTACGCCATTTGTGGGCCCTGTGTAGCTGTTATATAACCCTTCTCGAAACCAAGCACTTTAGGACGCCTCCTGCAGGACTTTTACCTTTCTTGGCTGTAAATCTTGCACCGCTTCGCAATCAATATCACGCGAGATTTTACTGTCGATATCGATACTTTCTTCGATAAGCCCTTTTTCCGGACCTGATCCTTCCTCCTCATCTCTTTTCTCCCAATACTGCGGCCCGTATGCGCGGCCCAACGTCTCGATCATTTCGTCATCAAAGTCCAACTTCTTAAAGGCCCGCCTCAGGCAATTCCACAATTTGACTTTCCGACGGAGCACTCGTTTGTATCGCATGCCTTTCAACAAATTCACAATTTCAAACGCCCGCGTCGGCTTCCATCCGTTTCCGTACAAAAGCGCATAGAGAAGTGTCTGGACCTCGTGAGAAGGAAGGACACCGTCTGTGTCGCTCACCTTCACCTCCACAATCCGCTTCCGGTTCTCGTCGTAGAAATCGATTCGACCGTTGAGTCCATAGGTCCTGCGGGCCAAGGGGGGGAAGGGGGATGGTGTCAGGGTTTGGAGGTACCTGACGCGAGCCTTGCGGTAGTCCCACGAGTCTATAAAAATACTACCCGGAAGACAGCTCCTCCCTCCATCACTCTTCACCTTGCTAAGCACAGCCTCCAGGCAGACCATCCCATTCTCCTGTCATAGAACTCTGCCCTCCCTTAACCATGTTTCCCCTCCCCCAACATACCAGCCTTCCGCAAAGACATGAGCGTCCCGCTGTCGACAGAATCCCCTCTTCTCGAGTTCGGTCTCCGCCACTTCCTTTTGCAACAAGGAGACCCCGTTGCCCTGCGCGAAGGTGGTGGAATTTCGAGCTTGCTTAAAATCCAAGTAGGCGATCACGTTCTCCGAGAGCCCCGCCAAGAGCTTGGAAAGGTCTTTCGGCGTCCGGGAGTCCTCTACTTTCAACAAGCGTTTCACCAGAGAGGGTTGCCGTAAGCCGTAGGACAGGGCGTCTTGATAGAGCACCGCACAATTCCAGACCGCTTCCACGGGGAGCTCGGCGCTGGGAATTCGGTAGTCCAACAGGGGAGCAAACGTCTGAATAGGCCCTCGGTAGGCAGCATGCAACACACAGCGCGGCATGCCCTCCAGCAACTCCAGGAAAAACGCGCGACTGGCGCCTGCCTCGTGGCCATGGTCTTCCAAGAGCATTTCCAGGGCTTGTCGCCATTGCTCCGTCTCGTCGTACGCCCACAGCTCGTTCAAATGGTAGTCCACCGCCAAGTTTAACACTTTGGGGCACTCTGTAAAGACCACCGGCCTCCCCTTCCTTCCCCCCGCCCGACCGCCGAGTTTCTCCACCACGGGCCACAACAACGTCGCGTCTGCCCGCTTGGACAAGCGGCCTTTGACGTGGAGTTCCCGCGCCAACAAAGCCTCCCCCATGACCCCCGTGATCAAGCGCCCCGTTTCGTCCTGCTTGAACCAGGCAGGCGGGGACAACCGCGTGCCGAATCGGTCAAAGCCCTTCCAGGCATAAGGGCCTTCCTCTTCCTCCGCCCCATCCTCCCCCCCGCTCTCCTCGCCCAGCAACATGTCATCCACGGTCTGGATCTCGTCCGTCGAGTCCGTCACGCTCCAGTAGTACTTGAAAGGTACGTCCACCGTGCGGTTCCGGCCCTCCTTCCATTCCACCACCCCTTCCGCCAGGCTCTTCGAATCGTTCCTCCGGGTCGCATAAATCGCCGCGTACGGCCCCGCCGTCTCAATCGTGCTCGCCTCCCATTCCAATTGAGCCCCCTCGTGGAGCCTCTCGTGCACGTGGGAGAGGTACCGGGAGGGGGCCTTGGCGTCGAAGCCGATCAGAAGCACCTCCTTGGAACGCGTGGTGCCCACGTTGAACAGCGACCGGTCCACCAGTTCCTTCTGCGTGTGCACGCTGCTCTTGCTCGGCAGCACACCTTCCGTGCAGTCCAAGAGGATCACGGCCCTCCAGTCTTTCCCCTTAAAGGCCGTCAAACTCCCCATGACCAGGCGCTCTCCTGCCTCCTCCCAATTGATGGACTTCCGGTCCGTGACTTTGGTTCGAAAGAGATGCACGCAGCCCGACCCGTCGGAAGGGGCGTACCCCGCCTCGGCCAAGGCCCTCTCCAGGACGTCTTCGAGCTGGAGGAGGATGAGGTTCACGTTGACAAACCTGTAGATAAGCAGGGACGAAGGGGAGGGGAGGTGGGAGGGTGATCCTTGCACTCGGCTACTTTGGAGGGTGGAAATTTATACCCTTGGACTCGCTCCCCTCCCCCGGGGCCCTACCGGCTGGTGATGGCGATGTCCCGCAACCGCAAGCCCTCCATGGTCCTGAGCAAGGTCAACACGATCTCCGCGATCCTGCAGGCGGTCCTGTAGGCGTCGTAGTTCTGGACCGACGAGGAACTCTGCACATACGTGAACAGGTACGGCTTGTCTTGCCCACCGACCGCACGCTCCGCCATTTCCGGGGAAGGCCGGACAAGTCCCTCCCCTCGAGTCGCATTGCGGGGCACGGACAGGTTGTTGAAGGAGACGTGGGCGTGGGGGCATCGGTAGTTGATGTCCAGGCGGCGCGTGTGGACCGGGACGGACGGCATCCACCGATGGAGACAGTCCATGGGATGGCCTTGGCCACGCCCGGTCAGCACGTCGCTAAAGACGGTCTGCTCCACGTCCCCCACGACCAAGACCCGCCGCAACGCCCCGTCCCGGGCGTGCTCGGACTCGACCAGCCGGCTGACGATCTCCATATCTTCCTCCCGCAGGTCTTGGGCCTGGGAGTAGGCAACGGGGAGAAGGAAAAAATTGGAAGGAAGGGCGGTTTGTGTCAACCCCAGCGCAACCCTTGGTCGACGATTCACACGAAAAGCATCGACCCACATGCCTCCCTTTCCCTCTTTGTACACCGCTCCGTTCCCGGATAAGACATCGTCTTACAGACCATTCAGGCCCCGATGAACACCTCCCCAAGCGGCCCTGTCGGGCCACGGTCTACATCCCTCCCCACTCCCAACCTCTGCTCCACCTCCGACTCCAACGATCATATCCTCCCCCC